TGAGAACTGTTATTTATCTTTATGTTTTGGGTTTGGGTTTCCTCCTAAAGTGATATTCTAAATGAATGGTGATTGCCAACGAGTGGTTGGCAGAATCCTGTTAAGATAATTGGTTGAAAGAGATCCTTTTAATCTATACGAAGTCTAAATGCACACCGACCAGTGGTCTGTCAAATGTAACAATTGGTGTATCTCACACCAACGTGAAACCCATTGTCGTAATCAAGTGGCTACATGTGACCACCTGCGTGTAACTACGTCACAGTAACTACTACTGCTGAAGGAAAACTTTACCCATTCCTGTGAGTGGATTGGGTGTGATACACCAACAAATGAGGATGGTCTGCTTCGACGGCACAGTCGGTTCGGTGTACCACCGGTATGAATCACTACCATTTCAAGAACCAAATTCTTGCCGAATTATGCAAGCGACTGAAAAGTGAACAGCAGATCGTAGTGTAGTATAGTCCGTGGATCAATGGACCCGTGGAGCGTGCAAACAGAGATATACTGCAAGTGCTGCATGAAATGATTGCGGAGTACAAGATTTCACACAACGACTGGATATATCTTATACATTTGGTGAAAGCTAATATGAATCACTCTCCGGCGGCTTCTCCAGCTATCAAGGCCTCTGCTGAGGTATTCACTGGCTTCCCATTCCTACTGCCAGCCTACATTCTGCATGTACCTGACGATCAACCTAGGGCAGTCTCTATTTCAAGTGCCGCCATCGATAAGTCTCTGGCGAAGCTACGGTCTAGTATTGAAGATATGTACTGTGCTGTCAAGGACAAGCGTAAGAAGATCACTTTGCTGAACAAGAGAAAGTCCAGAGGCGCAAAAGAGTAAACTTTTCTGCGGGTGAATACGTCCTACGATCACGTGTCGACGAGCGACGACACAACAAGTTGCTAGTCACCTGGATCATTCCCTACGTCTTACCCGTGCGGACCTACACTCGTTTCGTGTTCGGCACCTTGTTACTGGGAAGGAGCAAGATGTGCACGCTTCACGCTTGATGTTCTGCGCAGACAGTGACTTGGAAGTCACGGAGGACCTACTGGAGCACGTCGTCTCCCAGGGCATCCTGCTGAAGGTCGACTGGCTAAACTAGCATCGTTGGAACAGAAACAAGCCTTTGAACTCCTAGTGAGTTCGTGGGGCTTAGAGCCTATCGCAAACTCTCGGGAGACTTTGAAGTCTCTAGCACAGGACATCCCTGCGCTAATACGTACGTATACGTGGAAGCAGCCGAGGACGCCAAGTTGGCGACAGCATTGCATAAAACTGACCTTGAGATAGAGAGTTTCATGAGTCAAATCACTGTGTGATAAAGATCCTTAATACTATAGCAGTTGCTTAAAAGTAGTGCGATGTGCAAGGCTGATGGCCTGCGTACATGTATCCATGACTCAACATGTGTGGTTTTAAGCATAAGGAAAAAATGAATTGTGTATTATGGTACAGTGTACCAAACCGACGTTGCAAAATAGTATCTTGAAAATACCCATATTGCTTGTTTGCAAGTTGTGAGCAAGGTTTGGGAGGAAATTGTAGCGTGGGGCTCAGGTTGAAAGCCTTGCCCTCATTGCACTCTGGAGTGAATGCAAGTTGCATTTACTACCAACTGGCTGTCCTTGCAGTTGCAGTTGTAATTACTAGACTTGATGCTCCATGGTAGTGCCCAGGAGATTTGCCTTGCTCGCTGTGGCGAGAAGAGTAGTCTAGTCAGTTTACCTTTGCTTTCCACTGAGCAAGCAATACAATCGGCTAAACGTTTGGAAGTGCCAGCTTCCCTAACTGTGTCTACTGTTTTCGTCTGGTGGACGTATTACAATCGGGTGGGTCACTAGATGACCTCACACCAAACTGGCCGGCGCTCCAGGAGATTGTTACAAATGACGAGAACAATTTGAGCATCATCGACAAGGTCAAACTCTGAAACGTACAGACTAAACAAACACCTCGGCGGACAAATAAACCGCAGGCTGCTTGGAATCAATGGCTCCTTCGGCGACAATGTACGCATCAGTATACCAATATTATGTCGGTGTCAAAACAGCCCAGTGTGACTGAATATGCGCACTGGTATACTGACGTTCATCTACGCATATCTTCTGAGTTGCCCTCATCGTTTATTTTTGAAAAGAATAAAAACATATTTTGCAAGTAGGATAGACTCAAACGCAGCTTCGATAAAGCGGATAGTGTGGCAACGAATTAGGCGCAGTATATGCATGGCAACAGCAAGTGGTTACACGTCGACTACAAAATGAAGTGATTTGGCTCAGCGTCGATTCCGTAGTGTGTTTGGAATTTCCTAATCAGTCTTTGCGAAGCCCTAGTTTTGCTGCCATTGTTCCTCTAACTATTGCGCTTCTTAGTAACGTTAAAAGAAGGAAACCGTGTTCCGTTCAATCGCATCGTTGTCACTATTTATTTGTGGAGTGAGAGAGTAGGCATACCCAAAACTTTAATGTTTACGGCTATCAACTTGGTTGTGGCAGCAATTACAGCAAGTTGGACCACGGTTAGCGAATGCACACGCCACTAATAACTGACTCG